GAGATTAACCAAAGAACTTATATGCATATATACATAGCCCATGGACACAGACAACAGTGCAGTGGAGGCCTGGGGAGGGGGCAGAAGCAGGATGCAGAGTGTCAATGGGGGGGAAAAGGGGACATCTGTAATACTTTTAAAATTAAAGATAAATTTTTTAAAAATAAAAGTACACTGAGAAAAAATAAAATAAAATAAAAATAAATAAATGAATGCTCAGGTCTTAAGACTGAATCACAATTTGGGGGAAGGAGACCTGAGCAGGAATATTGTTAAAAGCACCACAGGCAATTCTGATGCACCCCCTCCTTTATTAAGAAACTACTTTAATCCTTCTGAATTTACATTCATATTTTTCCAAATTATTTCAGCACATTTCATGAATTTGAAATGCTACCTTTATCTAACTTGGTAAGCTCCATGAGAGCAGAGACCATACCTGTTTTTACCAACCATTACATCTCTAAGGCCCAGAATAATGCCTGGTGTACAACTGGTGCTTCCTATGTTGTTTTTTAATTGATTGATTTTAGAGAGAGAGGAGAGGGGGAGAGAGAGAGAAATATTTTGTTGTTCCACTTATTTATGCATTCATTGGTTGTTTCTTGTATATTACGTGCCCTGACGAGGAATCAAACCCACAACCTTGGCGTTATCGGGATGATGCTTTAACCAACTAAGCTACCCAGCCAAGGCCATAAATGTTAAGTGAATAAATAAGTAACAACTGAAAACACAAGTCTCCAACTTCATCCCATCCCAAACTGGCTAGTCTTCTCTTCAACATTTTCTTGACTATTAGGGGAGTAAAACTGATGTTATTAATAATGATCCTGAGTTAGCAAAAATATTAAATTATGCCCAGTACATTCTGTTTAAAGTGGCCAGAAAATGTACTAGAGGGCTCCATCAAATGAAATCAAAAGAAGAATGTTGGCTATGTTTAAGAGGTATGGGAGTTCTGATACAGTTCTTCACAGAGGAACTGAACAGTGGTGACCTGAGAAACTAAGGAAACTTGGCTTCCTCTAGCACTTAAGAGTTCAACTAGCTTCAGAGACTGACTCAGAGCTTCCTTGAGATGGAAGGCCCACACATACCCTCTTCCATGAGCCCATGGAAAGAAAATTGGAATAGGGAATCAGGAGACCTGAGTCACTACTATCAACATGTTTGACCATGGGCATGTCACTTAACCTCTAGGGGTTGAACTAGATGTTGTCTAAGAATCCCTTCAGCTCTAAACCTGTAACTACAGACCCAAACAGGCTTCCACAGGGCAGGGCTTCCAAGGACAACATGAAATTGCCTGCACAGAACAGAGTCCCAATCCCACCCCAGGCTATAACAAAATAAGAGTGATAATAATAGTAGTAGTAGAAGTGTAGTATTAGTAGAAATAACAACAGCTATTGCTAAATTTTACTGAGCACTTATTATATAATACACAATAATCTAGATATCTCACTAATAATAATAATGGCACAGACACTTATAGGACACTGGCTATGTTCCAAGTGCTTTGCATATATTAACTCAATCTTCACAACAACCCTATAAAGTGAGCTCTATTATTATCCCCATTTTACAAATGAGAAAACTGAGACAGAGAGGTCAAGGGACTTGCCCAAGGTCTCACAACTGCCAAATGATGAAACCAACTAAGTTGAACACAGACCATACTTTTAACTACTATGCCATACTGCCACCCAAACTATCACTTACTACGTCACTTCAGAGATCGCATGAAACTGCTGGTGGGAATGCAGACCGGTGCAACCACTTTGGAAAACAGTATGGAGGTTCCTCAAAAAATTAAAAATGGAGCTGCCGTTTGACCCAGTGATTCCACTCCTAGGAATGTATCCTAAGAATCCTGAAACATTCATCAGAAAGGATATATGTACCCTGATGTTCATAGCAGCACAATTTACAATAGCTAAGATCTGGAAACAGCCCAGGTGCCCATCAGTAGATGAGTGAATAAAAAAGCTGTGGGACATTTACACCATGGAATACTACGCAGCTGTAAAGAAGAAGAATCTCGTACCCTTTGGGACAGTATGGATGGACCTGGAGAATATTATGCTAAGTGAAATAAGCCAGGCAGAGAAAAACAAATATCACATGATCTCGCTTATATGTGGAATCTAAAGAACTTAATAATCTGATGAACAGAATAGATTCAATGACATGGAAGCATAGATGAGACTGATGAATGTCAGAGGGATGGAGGAGGGCGGGTGGGTAGAATTTTTGTATGAGATCTAAGTTATCAGCTTAAAACAGACTATCATAAAGTGTTTTGTGTAATCCTTGTAGTAATCGCATCCAAAAAAATACAGGTAGTTGACACACAAAAGGAGAAATGAATCAAATCATATCACAATAAAAATTCATCAGTCTGTTCCATGCTTAACTGACAGATCTCAGAGAAAAGGGGGGAGGGGGACAGGAAGAGATTAACCTAAGAATTTGTATGCATATATGCATAACCCACAGGCACACAAAATAGTGTGGTGAAAGTCTGGTGTGGGGCAGGAGCTGGTGGGGGATGGACAAAGGGGGAGGAAATGGGGGACATCTGTAATAATCTCAATAAAAATAATTTTTTTTAATAAACTGTCACTTGAGACAAAGAAAATTATTATATAATGNTAAAAAAGAAATGAGTTGCATTTACTTCTGTGTCATATTTCCCTCTTCATTAGTGCTAGAAAAGTTAGGTTTTACTCCAATGTAAAATTAAACAGATCAGATTCCAGGGCCTGAGATAGCAAAATATATTATTTATTAAGAAAATAATGAATGACTTTTTTATTTAAAATTGTTAAGCATTAAAATTCCGTAGTATAAAATAAATAAATCATTAACTACTAATGACATTTCCATTAAATACAGAGAAAACACACAAGATCTTTATGCATCATTTAGGACAAAACTTCAGATCCCTACCTGCACAAACTCCAGTTCCTGAGACCTGACAGCCCACAGATGTCTCAAACAAAACAAGCCAAATGAAACGAGGTACAGTTCCTACCATCCCCATGCCCTTCTGATCACCTCCCACATTCCCTACGTGAGTGAATAGCACCAATGGCCCAAGGTTCACTTCCTCCCACATCAAGTCACAGAAAATTTCTAGAATTCATTCCATTCTCTCTATCTTTATTGCTCCTGTTTCTGCACAGACCTTCACCTTCTCTTCCCTAAGCCACTACACAGAAACTTTCCAAATGGCTCTTGGTTTTCATTCTCTCCAGCTCCAACCCCACTTCAACAGTGCTGCCAAAGTCATCTTTCTAAAACAAAATCTGATTATGTTACTTCCCTGTTTAGAATCTTTGTCTTCAGGATAAAGTGTAAAATCCTCCCTAGAACATACAAGGCTCTTTTTTATCTGGTCCCCTGACTACCTTCCCAGCTTCATCTGAGGTCATGCCCCATACATCTCACACGAGACAAACAGAGCGACTTGGAAGTTCCTAAACAGTGCTTCTCTGTCTGCCCAGAATGCAATTCTCTCATTTGCCCATCTGGCAAACTCCCACTCGTTTTTTCAGACCAGCTCAAAAATCAGAGTTCATTATGCTTTCCTCTGGGCTTCTACTGAATTTTGCACCTCTCCCTATTATAACACTTATTCAGCCAGACACAATTTTTTACTTATTTGTGTGTCTTTCCCATAAGACAAGGAACCGTCTAGGGTTCTGTGCCTTATTCACTCCATATTGTTTGTTGAATGAAAGAATAACTCAGGATTTAAACAAGAATATTCAAACTGCTCCCGATAAATGCCCATTGTGTGAGTCAAAGCAAGCATAGAGGCCAAATCCCATTTCAACAAATGTCTTTAACTTGACAATCCTCTTAACATCAAAAACAGTTGTTACATTTGTGTGACTACATACTTGAAGCCATAACCAACAGGAGACAGTTTTAAAAGCTACATTAGACCAACAACAAACCTACCTGTTGAATATTTATGGGCATCCGAGCTCTTCATTCTACCCCATCCTTAACCTTTTGTGGACCATAGACCAATTTGGGTAGGGTTTGTCTATCATTTCTTAAACCTACACTCCCTTTTGATAAGCACAAAAATCCCACACACCCCTGGAGATTCCAATACTCTCCCAAAGGGCTCAATCCCACTAAAAATAAGAAAAAACTTTGTGCAAGCAGCAATTCATAGGTTCACAAGAGATGTAATCCATCAGGCAAGATATCATTGAGCTTTGCTCTCACATAGTTCATAATGTTAAAACAGGTATTTTTCTTCTATCTTCAAACATAAACATTGTAACATTAAATATGCCTTAAAGTCTTTACTGGGAAGAGGAAGCCAGGGAGGTGTTGACATCTGTCTCCTTCACCTTTGAGAACTTTATGATAGAAAATTGCCAGAAACAAATGAAAAACACAAATATGAAAAAATATCCCATTTGGTCAAATATAACCCCCACAAGCACATGTTTAAAAGAAGGGAGTTTTTTGAAAATGCTTCTGGCATGACACTTTCCTTCTACTTCCCTCACCACCCCTTCATCCGCACTTTAAAATAATTTGAACTTCTAGCTAGCAGTAACTTCTTTTAAACACATATGTTTTGTCCTTGGGAAGACAAAGGGTTAAATTAAAGAAACAGCTGGCTGCCTGCCACTAGCT